AACCTTACCAACAACAGCATCATTAGCAATATTCTCTAAAGAAAGGCCTCTTGATTTATCTAGAGGGTTTTCATTTAGCAAAATCTAAGCTCCAACAGCTAAAGCATCAAGATTTGCAACACTTTGTTCTTCTTCAACTATTATTGACAGATCTAAAAAAATCTATTTAGTAATATCCAAATTCTCTTTACCAATAGCAGCAGGAACCTGGGCCTTAGAAATGTAGTCTAATAATTGAGCTTTTTTAACATACACAAATCCATTTTTCACCTAATTTGGATTTGTATCAAACTTTGTTTATTTTAATCTTTTAATAGCTAGTTTAAATTTCATCCTTCTCCCATTATTGACATGCACCTATGGACCATAAGATGACTCCTTGGTCATAGCATCTGGTAAAGCAAAATTCACACCATTGGCTTCCCCAGTAGAAATGCAAACTACTTCAACTCCTAAAATGCTCTCCTTCAGAATGCATTCATTAATAAAAATGACCAATATTCTCACATTTAAAACAAAATGTAGAAATTTTCTCATATTCAACTATTTGATAATCCCTCCACCCAAAGGAAATTGTTTATCTAGAGCCATGAGGACACATACCCTACGAAACTCCCATCTCCCCCATTGGAACGTGTTGCCATAAATTCATATAGGAGTTCCTAACATTGAGGCAACTCTTGTTACATTAACTTCTTCCCAACACAACAATGGAAGATGAGGCATTCTAACCCAAATAGGATAAGTTAGACCATTCAAGGAATTTATAGAAAATCGTGAAGACCACTTATAAATTCCCACAATATGACCCTTCACACACCATGGGCCTCCAGCTAATACATTTCAACTACTTCAAGATATGTGAACGAACACAGTACCCAACCTAACCCAAGCAAAGTTAGGTGAAATTTACCAAAATGTCATCATTGTCTACACAATTCATCAGCGATCAACTGGATTGGAACATCATTTCCAAAAACATTAACCACTATGGAAAATTGAAGCTTTTTTGAATTAGCCTTAACATAAGGCTCATACAATTTAAAAGCCACACTATCTTTCAAAAGGATTGAGTCTTCATTTATAAATTTGATTTTAATATTTGGACATTTAGCCCAAGGATTGATACTATCTGAAGAAGGACGAACAACCTTATCAACGAGGTCTTCTATAGAAGAAATTTCATCAATTTCGTTTTCTTGGGCATTCAAACAAACATCAGATGGATTATTAAATACTTGATCTTTCTTGAAAGAACCCAACTTGGCATTACAAAATCTATTAACAAAGAGTTTCAAACCAAATGAATTAGACACTTCAAAGTCATTTTGATAAAAAGATTAAGAAAATTTAACGAGTAGAATTAGCCAACAACCCATTTTCAATACCCTTGCCTTTGCTGACAACAGGGGAATCCTTCTTAACATGAATAAAAAGTGGTTCTCTAATCACCAGTCGTCTGACCTAATAGGTGATCAGGATACATTACTAGAACAACCAAAATGATTCCGACGACCATTGGGGGATGCCACCGTCACTTCGATATTTTGCGAAAAGATTTCCAAAATTGTAGAGGAAGGAAAATATGGAAAAAATGGGATTTTCTCTCTCTAACAAATGGGTGTTTCTCTCTCTATAAAACATGATTTGGTTTAGTTAACCCTTAAATCTACATAACTTGTTATCCCTTAAATATGAATACAAGCATTTTATAAATATTATAATTCTAATAATTCCTTTAGAATTATAGAAGTTGGCAAGACATTACAAGTACTAATTTTTTTGTTATTTTTTATTTAGTAACTTTACTTTTCATTTATCTTTTATTTATCTAAGTACCCTAAAACTTTTTTGAATACATGTCTATTGCATCAACTTATTATTTTCAAGTGGGTGTAAACATTACTAGTAATATTTTTTTAATATTCCAGTACATAGGCCTTTTTCTACTTTTAACTCATTTTTTATTTAGTCACTAAAATACCTTATTTTAATGTTAAATACATATCTATTACCTCCACATATTGTACTAATCTAAAGTTTATTAAAGGTTTCATAATTCTCTAATTACTTGCAAAATGAGCAATATTACAAAATGAGTTATGTATTTAACATGGATTTGCTTAAATGATCAATATCATAACTCAAGGATTAAAATGGATTTGCTCATAATTCTCTAACCAAATGAGCAAATCCATTTTAATCCTTTGTCATAGTATTCCTTTATAAGTAGTCAAGTGCTTAAATGATTTTTAGAAATATTACTTATAAAAAATTACTATTTTTAAATGAAAAGATAAGTTGTTACTTGTAATTGTCTTACTTAGAAAAAACATTTATGTTGTGTACTATTAAATACTTAAGGATCTTAATTTTAAATTTTTAGAATTTTATAATTAAAACAAAAAGGATAATATAGTAAGGAAAAATAATTTTTATAAATTTAGAGAAATATATTTCATTCTTTTTTTTTTCAAATTACATTTTCTTACAAAAATAAAACTTATAAAAAGTGCAAGAAATGAACACAACAAAATAAAACAAACAAACAAAATTTATAAACTAAGATAGAAAAAAATATAATAAATAGTAAAAGTAACAAAATATTTTTATTAACAAATATAGAGTATTTTCTACTCATCCTCATCTTTTTACTTTATTTCATGTGTTGCTATTGGTGATGATGATGGTATTGCCTATGAATACATTTCAAAGTGGGTGGGCTAGAGAATAAATTTTACCAATTATGAGAGCCCATCTCCCAACATTTTACCATTCCTATCATATCTTCATTATAGTTAGCTTGGTTCTAATGATTCCTTCGGTGTTGAGTATCATATGATCATAGCATGTCGATAACTATAAATAATGTATTAATTTATATGTTATATTTTCAGTGAGAACATGTTTTTTATTTATGTTGTGCATAAAAAAATAAAAAAAGCATAAAATTTTAACTATCATCTTACACTGTGATGGTAGACGAATAATTTCCATTGTGCCATAAAGGTCATTGCCGGAGCACCAAAATATTGACATGGTAGCACAAACTTCGCTATTTGAAAGTGTTGCGGTGTCTAAATGGTTAACTTGAAAGCATTGTGTTCACTATTTTCATGCGCTACATCATTATAGTCTAACACAACTTTGTGCCAAATTTATCACTCGGGTGCCAAAACTTTCGAAAGTTAGTAGTGATGTGGTGTAACAGCTATAAATTCTAAAGGACATGATCTTCTAGTGAAGCTCTGTGAATGTTTAGTAAATAATTGATCCATATCAGCAAGCACCGTAGAGGAGATAAAACATTAGTGTAATAACATTTGTTCATTTTATGGGTATAGTGGTGCTGATATTTCAAGCTTCAAAGAATCAATTTACTAATTTTTGTTTACCTACAAATAGTCATTATATTATGTTTGTATGGGATTTCAATCTCTTATATAGTTTTAATATTATTTAAAAAACTCTCTTAGACCTCTCTTTAAATCAATTATTAGAATGTTTAGTTAGTGTTTGTGTGAGAAACTCTGTATATTAAGGAATGAGTGTACACATTAATCCTTCTTCGTAATATCATTCTCTTATATTTTTATTCTTCAATGATTTCATGTATTTTTATTCTTCCCTGATTTCAGGTATTTTTATTCTTCCTTGATTTCAATAAAAATATGTTTGCTAATCTTTTCTTTCAAATCTCACTGATTTTATAGTTTTAAATTGATGATATAGATAAAATATTATGTATTAATGAAGATTCTTGTTCTCTAAATTTAAATGATATTTTTAATATTTTTCTACTCATTATTTAATGCACATAGTGGTTATATATGTATTTAAAATCTAGTTTGATATATAGCCTTGACAGAGAAACTCAAGAACAATTAGGAATATTAAAAAAAAATTATTTGTATACTAGACATAGGATGATTATACTAGGATCTTAAGGAGATAATATAATTGTATGAGGTTAGCATACCCCATTTTTACCCTTACAAGCTTGATAGTGATCTAGGGATGCATATGCTCTGAATCATATTATAAATATGAATTTCATTAGAAAATATATGCAATTTATAAATACAAAACACTTTATTTAAATATTATATCCATTATTTTAAATATTTTTATATTCATCAATCCATTATTTTTTTTAGTAGAATAATTTTTCAATTAAAGTAAACAATGGTAGTTGATTACTAGAAAGCATACTTTCTCATGAGTTTGAGACTCTACTCTATCATTTATTAATTGATTCAATATATATACTTACGTATATTAAGTGGGTTTTGTTATATATATATACTTAAACATTGTTTAGGGAATAGAGTCTTAAACATTTTTTATTGTTAAAAAGTGCACTCTAAAGCCCCATCATATTTTTGGCCCCATTGCTTGGAAAGTATATTTCTTTTTGAGTATTCTTACTATATTATCAATATAATTATATTGTTTGACACACTTATATCTATTATTTTTTATTTCTTTAAATACTTATTGTATATTTATAGTTTTATGCTTTATAGTCCTAGAAAGGAACTTTTATCGATTTATACTTAAATTAAAAGAACCCTTTCTAATGTTTGAAAATCCAAAAATATTTTGAAAATGACTAAAATATGTTGCTGTAAAATTGTACCAGACCTCTTAAGGACTATGTAAACAATTTCGCAGACTGAATTCACCAGAGTATTAATATACCTGCAATCCAAGATAACAATTTTGAACTAAAATATGTCATTATACAAATGATTCAAAACTCTTAGTTTGTGTAACTCTTATAGAAGATCAAAATTTATATTTAGCCAAATTTTATAAATTTGTGTAACATTTAAGTATGATGGTGTCAGTGATGATGTTATTAGACTTAGATTCTTTTTCTCTTCTCTAAGAGATAAATCTATCGTATAGTTGAATTCATTACCCCCAAGACTTTAACTACTTGGAAATAGTTGGCTCATAAGTCTCTTGCTAAGTATTTCCCACCTTTAAAAAATGCCAAAGTTAGAAATGACATGACTTATTTTACTCATTTTGAAGGAGAATACATTTATAAGAGTTGAAAAGTATTTAAGGAAATTATTAGAGAATGGCCTCATCATATTTTACCTAATTGATTGTTTATTCAAATATTTTATAATAGATGTATAATCACTTTGAGCTATAATTGATGCTACAGCTGCAGGATCATTAATATCTAAGCAATTTAAGGAAGCCTATGAATTAATAGAGGAGATGACTACAAATAATTTTCAGAAGCTTGCTCATAGGGTAAATCCTATGAAAGTAGTTAGTATTTATGAATCTGAATTTTTATCAATCTTGACTATAAAGTTACAATAATTTCTAAAGAGTTAAATACAATAGGATTAAATTATGAGATAGGAACAAATTCTTTAGTGAATCAAAATTTAATTGAAGATAATAATGTGCAAGGGAATGAAAATATTAATTTAATTAGAAAATAACATAATCCCTATTCAAATACTTATACTCCTTGTTGGAGTAACCATCCCAATTTTAATTGGTCAAATAATCTGGTTAGAAATAATCAATAAAATAGTAGGCAGAATAAACAAGCAGTAAATTAGAATAATCCTCAACAACCAACTGTTAATCCTAAACTTACATATCTTCCAAGATTTAATCAAAGCAATAATTTTAAAACTTAATTAGCATTGTAAGATGTAGTAACATAGTGAATCAATTATAAAATCAAGCTACTTCTATTAAAAATTTGGTAACCCATTAATCTAGTTTGTCGTTTTAGTTAGTAGTAGACCTCTTGGATCTTTACCTAGAAATACTAAAGTTAACCCAAAAGAAAAAAAGAAAATGATTCTAGAGGAAATCATTTGAAGAATGAAAATAATATATCCTAGTCAAATTAAAAAATCTAGGTAAGTCTAGCTGAAGACTATAAACTTAGCACTAAGTGGGAGGCAACCTAAAATTAAGTTTAGTGTGTTATTAAGTCTGGCTAAAGGCTATATACTTAGAATTTTAAGGGAGGAAATCTATCTTTTATTTTAGATGTTTTAGGTAAGATTGTTAGTTTTAATAATATACTTAGAAAAATCCTTGAGAAAGAGGGTATTGCAATACCATTTTTTAGTGCTGCATTGCTATATTAGGACTTTGCACTTTAAAAATTCAAATTTTAAATGTTTTTTCCCACTTGAAAATTATAAAACCATATGTTTGAAATTTTGTTCAAAATTTTTGTCAATTCTTATGTGTAGTGCTATTTATGTCTTCCTGAAAATTCAACTTAAGCCATGGGCAAACCAAGCAAAGACATTCCTCCTCTTGGATTAGAAAATAAGAACATTTGAAAATTGAAGATTTAATTTTTCTTCCAAGCAAAAAAAGTTTTTCTATCACTAATAAATTTTATGAGTTCAAAGATGAAGCTCAAGAAGATATATGTAGATACAAGGCAGATATGAAGAAAATTTATAAATGCTATTATAGTACATTTTGTGACTACTGCACTGGTTTTCTTCTAACTTGTGTTATGTTCATGTTATGTTATCACATGTTTTATACGTCATTTATCATTTATATGAAAAAAGGTGCAATACTAATTATTGTTTGTATTTTTATTTAAATTATATTAAAATTTCTTTCATGCTTGTAATTATTTCTATTATATGATTTATTTTTTTTATATAATTAACATTAGTAAAATGATAATTAAAACTTATTTAAAATTAGAATAATACTAAAACCTTAGATCATTATTTAAATAAACATTTTTTTATACTTTATAGAGTGAAAAAACTAATAATTAACTAGCTTAGATCATTTAACTTATTATTTTAATTTGAATTTATAGGTTATACCTTTATGAATTAATTTTTGAAATAAAGATGAATAATTAGGATTAAATATGAGTAGATTAAAATTGAAAATCATAACTAATCTAAATTTGGAATTGGTAATCTTATTAAATCTTTACATGAAAATTAATAAGATTGTAAAAGGATTTGTTGCAAAATTGATATTCAAAATCATTAACTATATTCTCCACAAAATAAAAGAAAAAGAACTATAAAAATATTTCTAATAAGTATGATATCTATGATTGATCTTAGTTATTTTTTAAGGGAATTTGGAGCTTCACAAACCTTTTCAAATCTCTGAACTCAATTTGTTGAGTTTTCATTAGCACAAGGGTTCACAAAATTGACATCAAAATTTCAAAAATTATGCTTGACTCTCTCATTCCACCTATTAACTTGGGGTGAGATATCAAAGCCTAGATTTTATAAGAGGTTTTCTCACTCACCACTCTTATTATTTTTTATGTTGGCTACACTCACCCAAGGAATAAATAGGAAGAGGGACCAACGAAAGGAGGGTAGTCAAACCTACTAATGCAATAAAATTTCTATGATTATTAAAGATGGAGAGAGAGATCATTCCCTAGTAGAAACACCTCTTTAATTTTTACTTGCTTTGCTTTAAGCTATGGAAAGAGATGCAAATTAATTAAAATGGTAATTTATTTGGGAAAGTTGAAATTGACTTTTAAATTTTGTTTCTAAAATCAAATATAGTATTGGAAATGATATATTGCCTCGAAGGAGCAGATAAAATTTTCTAATGGGTTCACATTTAGAATTATAAATTTCATCTTAAATATTGTAGACAAATTTAAGATGGAACTATATATTATCCCAAAAAATTAAAATGGGGTTCTATTGAATATATAGCTATGACACTCTGTTGAGATTGTTGTAACTTAGTTTTTTTATTGTTGAGATTATTACATCATGTGTATTTTTGATGATTCTAAATATTATTATTTTAATTACTATTTCTCCTAATATATATTGGATCTATTTCTTTTGTTGTTTGTGTGTACTAATATTTCTGGGAAATTATACTCCATAATGTTAAAGACTTCAAGTCAGATTTGTATAGGGTTCAATGTAATTGGAGTCTGTATTTTTATATTTTTATTGAGTCTGAGAGAGTGTGATTGTAATTGATTAACCATTCATAGACACACTGGGGGAGTGTTCTAAATTTGTAATTTTTTTTAAAACTAATCATATTATATGATTTATATTCAAGTGGGATGATTTATTCAGTTATTTCCTCTAGCGAGCAATTAATCAAAACTTGGATGGAAAAGTTTTTCTAAGTACTGTTCATACTGTAGGAAGTTGGCTTCGTATAGATGACGTCAATAGTATGAAAATATGAGGAACATTTTTTTCCAGATGAACATGTTATTTTTTTAAATTATTCATATGGGATGATTTGGATTTTGTATAGACGATGTCTAGAGTACGAAAATGTAGGGATTATTTTTGTTAGATGAATATGTAATTTTTTTGGAAATGTTCATCTAAGATGATCTAGATTTTATACAGATGATGTCTAGAGTATGAATTTATTGGGAACATTTTTGTCCAGATGAATAAATTTTTTTATAACAGTTCATATTATATGATTTACATATCATACTGTATGTTAGGCTTGTACGAAAACATTTCATATAGTATCATACAAGACAATTTTGAACTATTTGTCTGGGTGAATATCGATCATATTGTATGATTGTGTACGCTCAAAATAAAAATTTTCTATTTTCTGGATAGTTTTTCACATCTTTTATACAAATAGTCCTTAGAGATTGACTTGAGAAGTATTGTTCTTTATGATTTTCTTTGAGAGAAAGTGAAAGAGTATTTTGGGAGAGTATTTTAGAGAGAGTTCTTGCAAGTGGAGTGTGAAGGGTTCATAAGGTTACTCAAAGGTAAGAATCTCTTTTATATTTTTGTTACTTCTCTTGCTTTCTTCTTTCTAGTTGCTTGAGATAAGATCTTTGAAGAAGGATGAAGGTACTCTACTGACACTTGGAAGGTGTGAAGAGATGATGGTACTCTACCGACACTTGGAGGATGTTAAAGGATGACGGTACTCTACTGACACTTGGAAGGTATGAAGAGATGATGGTACTCTAGAGACACTTGGAGAGTGTGAAAGGATGATGATACTATACCAAAAGTTTGAGTGTGTGAAAGGATGACCATACTTTGCCAATATTTGGATGGTGTGAAAGGATGATGATACTCTCCCGACACTTGGAGGGTGTGAAAGGATGATGGTACTCTACCGCACTGGGGATTGGTGGAAGAGATGAAAGTCGTAAAGGCTTCTTTGCATTGGTGTTGAGGAAAAAAGAGAGTCACTTTTGTATTAGCGTAATACCTGAATAGGGAGTCTTTAAGGAGTGGACATAGGTCTTCTGATACCAAACCACTATAAATCATTGTACTCATATTTATTTCTGCACTTTTATTTTTTAGCATTTTAGGTTTTGTGGTTAAAATTTTATTTTTCCAAAAAATATAAAAAAATAATTTTTTTTTATTTCTAAGAGATTTTTTAAAAATATCAATTCACCCCCCATCTTGGTTAGCCTTGGGACATTTGCTTAGGTTTAACAATCTATACAAACTTTATAAGTGGTATCAAAGCTTTGTGTCAAAACTTAAAGTTTAGACTACTTTTTGAAAATTATAATGGCTAACTTTGGAAATTATAACACACTTGAACGGTATTTGATCACTAGACCTCCATTATTTGATAAAATCCATTTTGGTTTTTAGAAAATATAAATGTCTTCTTTTCTTCAATCGCTTGACTATCGCAAGTGAATTTTTATTCATGATGGATATACTAGGCCAACTAGACTTGTAGATGGTATTAGAACTAAAATACCCTTTATTAACTGGATTATAGAAGAATGAGACTTAGCACAATTAAATGAAAAATGTTTAAATAGTTTCTTTTGTGCACTTAAATCAGAAGATTACATGTGTGTTTCTACTTGCAAAAGTGGAAAAGAAATATGAGATAGACTTTGTATCACATATAAAGGAACTAACAAAGCAAAACAATTTACACTAAATATCTTATTACATGATTATAAATTATTTTGCATGAAATCAAATGAATCTATATCTAAAATGTATACACGTTTCACCCAGATAGTCAATTCTTTGCATGCATTAGTTAGAGAAATAATGAATGCTTAAAAGATTAATAAAATTCTTCTTTGTTTGTCTATGACTTATGATGCTAAAATAA